GTCCTGGGTGATCTGCAAGCCAAGGTAGCTATGCAATTCACCCAGGTCTGTGCACGTGTGTCTCTTCTGCAGCTCGGACTTCACGTGGGCGAGTCCAGCAGTGTCAGCAGTGGGAAAGACCAAGTCGTCAACGTACACGAGGATGTAGAACGGCGACAAAGAGGTGTCGGTGCGCAGAAACAGCGACGGGTCGGCTGTAGACGGAGCAAACCCAAGAGCCGCAAGTGTAGTCCTCAGTGTGTTGTGCCACTCGCGGGGCACCTGGCGGAGACCGTAGACTGGCCGCCGGAGGCTCGACTGGGTACCAGGAGGAAACAACCCAGTGAAGCCAGGTGGGCGGCGCAGCCAGATCTCCTCGTGCAGGCTGCCCTGCATGAAAGCTGTGCTGAAGTCAAGAGAGTGAAGCTCGTAGTCGCGCTAAGCGGCTATGTGCAGCAGCACCCGAAGAGTGGTCATCTTCGGGGTGGGAGAGAAGGTCTGAAACTAGTCAACTCCCTGCCGCTCACAAAAGCCTCGAGCCACGTACCGCGCCTTGAAGACAGGCGGAGAACCCGGCGGCCGCTTCACCCTAAAAACCCACATGCCACTGACGATGTTCGCCCCAGGTGGGGGAACCTCGTCGACGTAGGTGCCTGTGGACTTCCAGGAAGCCATCTCTGCGTCCATGGCTGACTACCCCTGAAAGGAGTAATAACCCTCGATCGCCTCAGCGTACGATCGAGAAGTCGGGATGTCTGGTGCATCTGGGTCTCCCTCAGGGGCAATCAACATGGACACGAGATGGGGCAAAGCAGCAGCAAAGCACTGGAACTCCTCGTGCCTGTCCTTAAGGACGTCCGTGCTAAGAGCACACTCACCCTTGACGAACGGAGGATAGACAGACTCACACTCAGCAACGAGACTCGCAGCGTAGTCTAGACAACAACGATCACCGAAGTCCCCAAGCTCAGCAACTACGGCAGACGCAGAAGTGGACTCAAAGGAAGGGTCAGTGACAAGAGTGGCAAGAAGGCACGTGACCGAACGACTGGCTGCACGAAGGGAGTCAGACTCCGGGTCAGCAAGAGTAGGAAGAGAGGACTCTAGAGGAGACAGCCACGGGACACGCAGAGGAGCAGTGGAAGGACGCAGTGCCATCTAGTGTGTGCCGGGGACCGCAGGAGGATGCAGACGCAGAGCACGATGACTAGTGCGAGCAGCACGAACAGGCGACGCAGGACGAGACGCAGGCACACGACGCTCAGCAAGACCTCCAGTGTAGGGAGAAGGAGTAGGTAGAGGGGAGGCGGGCTGTAACTATGACTGCGACTGGACAGGCTGTGGACACTATAAGGAAGGAGCAAGACCAGGAGAGAGCGGGAGACCAAGAACCTGCTCCAGGAGAGGAACGAAGTACGGCCTCGGCCGCGCAGCGCCTCCAGAACCAGCAAGGACGGCACCAGTACCCCCAGCGGCAGCACTAGCGCTAGCAGCACCTCCAGCTCCACTAGCGCCAACTCCAGCACCCTCAGAAGCACCAGCGCCAGCAGCACCACCAACACCAACACCCCCAGCAGCTCCAGCTCCAGCAGCACCAACTCCAAATGGACTGTCAGCTCTAGTAGCCTCAGCAGCACCCTCAGATGCACCAGAGCCAGTAGAAACACCAGAGCCAACACCCCCAGTAGCTCCAGCTCCAACAGCACTAGTACCGCGATCAACTCCAGCAGAACCAACTAAAGTAGCCCCAGCAGCACCCCCAGTCTCAGCAGTACGTCTCCAGCGGCGGGCAAACCACTCGCGCAGCTCGTGTGGAGAGAGTGGCTCCCGCCTCCACAAAGCACTGCCGGCGGCCACACGAGCAGACCCAGCGCCCCCAGGCTCGGCACCCCCAGGCTCCGCACCTCCAGGCTCCACACCCCCAGGCTCCGCACCCCCAGACCAAGCACCCCCAGGCTCAGCACCCCCAGACTCAGCAACCCCAGACTCAGCACCCCCAGACCCGGCACCCGCAGGCTCAGCACTTCTAGCAGCACTAGAGTCAATAGCTACCTCGACAGGCTCGACTGTGTCTACCTCGGATACACCTGACGGGGTAGAACCCTGAGGGGGGAGGGGGTCTACCGGGGGAGGACCTGGTGCATGGAAGAGCGGCGGCGGAGGGAGAGGCACAGTCCAGTAGGGGAAGAGACGGTAGTAAGGCACCGACTCGTCAAAGGTGATGTCCAGGGAGGACAGAACATGGCGTGAGGTGGGGTGGTAGAACTGCCACCCAAGCGCGTCACGGGGGAAGCCAAGGAAGACGCAGGGAACAGCAAGGGGGGACAGCTTGTCCCTAGACATGTCGCGGACAAACGCCCAAGATCCCCAGACCCGAAACGCAGACGCATCACCAACCTTCCCAGTCCACCGCAAGGCGGGGGAGATCTCCGGCAAGGAGACCCGTGGCTGAAGGTTGAGCTGATGCGTGTCGTACTGTACCGCAAACGGCCACAGAAAATGGGGGGCAGCCGCATGCATCATGGACGTACGAGCGACGTCCATGACCATGCCAATGCGGCGCTCAGCAATCCCATTTTGCTGTGGAGAGGCCGGAAGAGTGAAGGTCTGGCGGATGCCCTGTGCACGACATAAGGCTCCCAGACGGCCAGAGGAAAACTCCCCGCCTCTGTCCGAGTGCACACGCAGAATAGGAAAGTCAGAGCCGAAACTCTCTCTGAGCTGGAGACGAGCTGCACGGATCTAGTCGATCAACACCTCACTGACGTCACCCTTCCTACGCAAGGGGAAGACTGTGGTGTAACGCGAGTAGTCGTCAACCACCAGCAGGAAGTACCGCTTGCGCTCCTGCCCTTTGACGCGGGCTGGGCCCCACACGTCCATGTGGAGAGTCTGCAACGGAGCCTCTGCCGGAGGAAACTCGGAGGAGTGAGGGGCGGCGTGCTGTCACCCCTCGACGCAAGGGGTCAGGTAGGGCCAGGCCCTGGAGGTAGGGGAGGGAGAGACCGAGGGAGACCTGAGACAAGGACACAGGACGCCATGCCTCGGAGACGAGGCAGGGAGGGGTGACCAAGGCGGTGGGGCCAAAGGAGAGTCTGGTGGGTCAGCAGACGACACAAGCAGGAAGCAGACTCTGGACCAGACCCGGACGCTGCAGCAAACACCTGACTTGATGTAGCTACGTGGGCTGACTCAGCAGCTAGAGGAGACTCAGTAGTAAGGGTGTACAGGCTCGACCCTGGCCGACAGGTGAACGTGGCCAAGTGTCGGCCTGTCCGAGCACACGAGCAGTGGGTCACTCGCTGACTCGCAGGAGTGAACTAGTCAACCCTGGTAGAGACTAAGGACAGAGTCTACGAAGATTAGGTGCCTCAAATTCTCAAAATCGTTGGCTTAGAATTCTGGACAGAAAAGTCGCGCTCACAAGAAACGCCGTCGACAAAAAAACGCACAGTCAAAACTTCCATTTTTTTCAGATATGTTGTAGCTCTAGTTTGCGGCTACAATTTCCAAGTTGAATCGTACAAAAAGGTGAAGTTTTTCTTGAGTTATCAATTTTGTCGCACTAGGGGGTATGCTGCCATAGAATCTTAACTCAATCACAATAGTCTCACACAAGTTTACAATTACTACACAAGAGAGTTAGAGTAGCACTAAACCAGGTAGAAGGGATAAGGAGGATGAGAGGGAAGGTCCCAAGAGAGTCCCCAACCAAGGAAACCCCATGCCACACAATTCCCTTCCCCATAGGCAACCCAACTTTGACCTTTGTCACTATCCCAACCTCCACAATCCACCTCAACCCAACTTGGCCACACTTGCCAACCTTGTTCGGCACCTCCCAACCATTTGGCAGCAACTTCAGTAGAAAAGACGAATTTTCCAACCCCCAAAAGTCTGTACCCCATATTGAGTCAACCCCACAACTTCCCACAGTTGCCACAATCAAATATGAAAAGCATACGAACTCCAACGTTCGTAACTTTCTTGTTCGTGCTCTGATTGAAGAGATACTTGGTTCGTCGGAAATCTCTTGAGCAGAGGAGTCATATCAGATATCTGCTCAAGCCAAATAACATTCACACACACTCAGAAAAACCAAGCCGCACAAAACACAAGTTCTTGCACACGCTCACACCACGGATGCAACGCACGAACATGTGATGGGAGGTAGACAGACGTGAATGCGAATGGAAGCATCACATAACAAACCCCCCTATCCTGTAGGTCCGCTCCATTCACCAATTTCGTAGAGAACGAGGGGAGGGAGAGACCTGACAGGGTGCCAGAGGGGGCTGCCGGGCACGGTAAGACAGTGGAGAAGCTAGCAAGGACAGGACCCCCAGAGGGGTCTGCCAGGGAGACTGCAACCGGCTGACTGAGTGGCGAAAGAGTGGTGCGGTCTCGAAAGAAGGAGCGGGACGCACCCCAGTCAAGGGTGAAGGTGTGGAAGGCCAGAGCCGGCGTAATACCTGAGAGAGCAGACTCACCAGCACCTCGGGCAGCAGACGCACTGGCACCTGGGGCAGCAGACGCACTAGCACCTGGGGCAACATACGCACTGGCACCTGGGGCAGCAGACGCACTGGCACCTGGGGCAGCAGACGCACTAGCACCTAGAGCAGCAGCCTCACCAGCACCTAGAGCTGTGGCCTCAATGCCCGGGTCAGGCGGTACACACAAGTAACAGTCACCCTCAACACTAGTAGTCACAAAATTCATGGCAGCAAGGATAGCATCATAGTCAAGATCGAAGACGGCAACCCCCGCCCGAGACAGATCTCCCCAGTGAGGGATCTCTGACGCCTCAGGTAACTGGCGACGCCACGCGTCCGTCAGGCAACCGAAGCAACGCTCGGTGGAGTGCGGGCCTCCTCACTACTCACCAGCTCGGTCGCCGGTACGGAGGACGTAAGTGCAGGGACCAAAACCCCCACCGCGCTGACGCGCAGTGTACCACTTACGAAGCTGCTGAGGGGACAGGGTCACACCACTCTGCTGCTGCTGGCGCGGATCACCAACTATGCCACTCCTCTGCGCAGAGTCGTGATCTGCTCCACCACTGCCGCCGCCGCCGCCGCCTCCGCCGCCTCCTCCGCCTCCGCCTCCTCCGCCACCTCCGCCGCCTCCGCTCCCTCCGCCACCACCACCGCCTCTGCCGCCTCCACTGCTGCCGCCGCCGCCACCACCCCCGCCACCACTCCCACCACCACCCCCACTCCCTCCACTGCCTCCACCACCACCTCCACCGCCCCCTCCAAGCCCTCCAGCGCCCTTGTCCCCCTTGCCCTTGCCGGTGCGGCGTCTCCCGCTCGGGGCAGACGCAGCGCTGACGCCGTAGAAACCAACGAGGTCGGCCGCAGTAGCAGAAGCAACAAACGGCAAGAGGGGGGAGGGAGAACACCCCTCAAAGACAGGCGTGCAAGGGTCACCACGAGAGGCTCCTACAGCGACTATACTCTTCTCTGCTGCTAGGAGGGCCTTCTCAAGGAGGTCAACGGTGAGAGTGGTGGGGCAAACTGAGAGGAAGTGGTCCCTGACTACGCGGAGAGTGTCAGGGAGCCGGGTGACTATGTAGTAGAGGGTGATGTACATGGGGGGGGGGGGGGTTCTTGGCGCAGAACTTAGTAGGAAGCGCAGCGCGGTAGCGAGTGTCACTAGTGCGGAGGTGCGTAATGAGGTCAGCGGCTGTGGGAAAGGCAGCAAGGTCAGGGAAGAGGTACGGTAGCATGAGGCGGCTCAGTGCAGCAGTGGCAGGGGAAGAGTAGCGTGCAACTACAGTGTCGTACAAGGTCTGAGCACTCTTGTACTGGCTAAAGTGTGCACGCTCAGTGGTCGGTAAGTGGCAGCGCACAGTAAGGCGAGCAGCAGCATCACGCGTGGCCCAGTGTAAGCGAATAGTGGTGTCAGCATTAGCAGCAGGGGCAGGAGAGGCACCAGAAGTGAGGTCAAACAGGGAGAGACCGTCTGCCCTGTCGCACTGTAGGAAAAGCTGGAGATCATCTACCCAGACCTCAAAGTGAACTGCCCGACCCTCAGCGTCAAAGGTGAGAATACTAGGGGAGGCCATGACAGCAGTAGACAGGCAGTGAGTATAGTGGGGCAGGGCAGTGCAGTGGTAGAGGTGCTGCTCTTACCAGGCAAGTGGGGCGGTCCCGGGCAGGCCGACAGGCGGCAGCGCCTCGGCTGCGGTGAAGCTCGACGGCTCGGTGGCTCGGCTGCTAGGTGGCTCGGCGGTCGGGCGGCTCGGCTGCAAGGCGGCTTGGTGGTCGGGAGGCTCGGGTGCTTGGCGGCTCGGCTGCTTGGCAGCTCGGCTGCTCGGCGGCTGGGGTGCTCGGTTGCTCGGGCGCTGGGCGGCTGAGCGGCGACGGGGCCGTGGAAGGGCGGCGACAGGGCCGCTGAAAGGGCGGCGACGGGCCACTGAAAGGGCGGCGACTGGGCCGCGGAAGTGCAACGACGCGGCCGCTGAAGGGCGGCGATGGGGTCGCACAAGGGCGGCGATGGGGTCGCACAAGGGCGGCGACGGGGCCGCGGAAGGGCGGCGACGGGGCCGCTGGAGGGCGGCGACGAGGCCGCAGAAGGGCGGCGCCGGGGGGGGGGGGGGGGGGGGCGGAAGGGCTGCTACGAGGCCGCGGAAGGGCGGCGTAAGGGCCGCGGAAGGGCCCCCACGGGGCCGCTGGAAGGACGGGCGGCGAGGCCGTGGAAGGGCGCCGACGGGGCCACGGAAGGGCAGCGACGGGGCCGCTGAAAGGGCGGCAACGGAGCCGCTGAAAGGGCGGCGACGAGGCCGCGGAAAGGGCAGCGACAAGGCCGTTAAAAGGGCGGCGACGGGGCGCGACTCGAGCAGGGGCCAAGCGCGCTACGGGCAGGAAAAAAAAAGGTCGGTGGGCCCTAGGAACAGTTCCCACGGGGGAACCTGCTCTATACCATGTGATAATTAGAACGAGAAATGAATGAACGATGAAACAATTGTGTACATGTACTAACCCCAATCGGGTTGTACCCCTTATGGGCTACCCCACTACAGCCTACAAAGATGTATAAGGTATATGTTCTGACACCCACCGCCACCTGCGGCCCCGTCGCCACCACCTGCGGCCTCCGTCGCCGCCAACTGCGGCAACGCAGCCGCCACCTGCGGCCTCGCCGTCACCTGCGGCCCCGTCGCCGTCACCTGCGGCCCCGTCGCTCTTCCCTAGCGGCCACGTCACTGCCTCTACCGGCCCTATCACCGCTCAGCCACCCAGCGACCGAGCCGCCGAGCAGCCAAGACGCCCAGCAGCCGAGCCACCCACCTGCCAACCAGCCGAGCCGCCTTGCAGCCGAGCCGCTCAGCAGCCAAGCCGCCCACCTGCCGAGCAGCCGAGCCACCCAGCAGCCGAGCCACCGAGCAGCCAAGCCACCCACCAGCCGAGCCGCCCAGCAGCCGAGCCGCCCAGCAGCCGAGCCGTCTTGCTGTGCGTCGCCACTTACCGACCACTGAGCGTGCACACTTTAGCCAGTACAAGAGTGCTCAGACCTTGTACGACGCTGTAGTTGCACGCTACTCTTCCCCTGCCATTGCTGCACTGAGCCACCTCATCCTACCGTACCTCTTCCCTGACCTTGCTTCCTTTCCCACAGTCCCTGACCTCATTACGCACCTCCGCACTAGTGACACTCGCTACCGCGCTGCGCTTCCTACTGAGTTCTGCGCCAAGAACCCCCCCCGCCCCAATCACCCTCTACTACATAGTCACCCGGCTCCCTGACTCTCTCCGCGTAGTCAAGGACCACTTCCTCTCAGTTTGCCCCACCACTCTCACCGTTGACCTCCTCGAGAAGGCCCTCCTAGCAGCAGAGAAGAGCATAGTCGCTGTAGGAGCCTCTTGTGGTGACCCTCGCACCACCGTCTTTGAGGGGTGTTCCCCCTCCCCCATCTTGCCCTCTGTTGCTTCTGCTACTGCGGCCGACCTCGTTGGTTTCTACGGCGTCAGCGCTGCGTCTGCCCCTAGCGGGAGACGCCGCACCGGCAAGGGCAAGGGGGGCAAGGGCGCTGGAGGGGCTGGAGGGGGCGGTGGAGGTGGTGGTGGAGGCAGTGGAGGGGGTGGGGGTGGTGGTGGGAGTGGTGGCGGGGGTGGCAGCGGAGGCGGCAGCAGTGGAGGCGGAGGAGGCGGCGGTGGTGGCGGATGGAGCGGAGGTAGAGGAGGTGGCGGAGGAGGCGGAGGTGGAGGAGGCGGCGGAGGTGGCGGCGGCGGCGGTGGTGGAGCGGGTCGCGACTCTGCGCAGAGGAGTGGGTCAGATGGTGGTCCGCACCAGCAACAGCGGAGTGGTGTGACTCTATCCCCTGAGCAGCTTCATGAGTGGTACGCTGCGCGTCAGCGTGGTGGGGGTACTCGTCCCTGCACTTACGTCCTCCATACCGGCGACCGAGCTGGTGACCAGTGCGGGGGCCCGCACTCCACCGAGCGCTGCTTCGGTCGCTTGACGGACGCGTGGCGTCGCCAGTTCCCTTAGGCGTCAGAGATCCCTCGCTAGGGAGATCTGTCTAGGGCGGGGGTTGCCATCTTTGATCTTGACTATGATGCTATCCTTGCTGCCATCTATTCTGTGACTACTAGTGTTGAGGGTGACTGTGATCTCTGTGTACCGCCTGTCCCGGGCATTGAGGCCATTGCTCTAGATGTAGGTGAGGCTTCTACTCTAGGTGCTAGTGCGTCTGTTGCCCCATGTGCTAGTGCGTCTTCTGCCTCAAGTGCTAGTGAGTCTGCTGTCTCAAGTACTACGTCTGCTCAGGCCTTACACACCTTCACCCTTGACTAGGGTCCGTCCCGCTCCTTCTTTCGAGACCGCACCACTCTTACGCCGCTCAGTCGGCCAGTTGCAGTCTCCCTAGCGAACCCCTCTGGGGGTCCTGTCGTTGCTACCTTCTCCACTGTCTTACCGTGCCGAGTAGCCCCCTCTAGCACCCTGTCAGGTCTCTACCTCCCCTCATTCTCTATGAACTTGGTGGGTGGAGCGAACCTGCAGGATAGGGGGGTTGACCAGTTCACTCCTCCGAGTCAGCGCGTGACCCACTACACGTGTGTTCGGACAGGCTGACACTTGGCCACATTTACCTGTCGGCCAGGGTCGAGCCTGTACACCCTTTCTACTGATTCTCGTCCGGCTGTTGAGTCTGGCGAGGTAGCTGCGTCGAGTCAAGTGTTTGCTGCAGCGTCCAAGTCTGGTCCTGAGTCTGCTCCCTGCTCGTGTCGTCTCTTGTGCCAGCAGACTCTCCTCTGGCCACCCCTCACTGCCTCGTCTCTGAGGCATGGCCTCCCGTGTCCTTGTCTCTGGTCTCCCGCGGTCTCTCCCTCCCCTACCTCCGGGGCCTGCCCCTTCCTGCGTCCCCTTTGTCGAGGGGCGACAGCGCGCCACCCCTCACTCCTCCGAGTTTCGTCCGACAGAGGCTCCACTGCAGACTCTCCACATGGACGTGTGGGGCCCCGCCCGCGTCCGTGGACAGAGATACGAGCGTTACTTCCTGTTGGTGGTTGACGACTGCTCGCGTTACACCACAGTCTTCCCCTTGCGCGGCAACGGTGACATCACTGAGGTGTTGATCGACTAGATCCGCGCAGCTCGTCTCCAGCTCAGAGAGAGTTTCGGCTCGGACTTTCCTGTTCTGCGTCTGCACTTGGACAGAGGCGGGGAGTTTTCCTCTGCCGGTCTGAGAGCCTTCTGTCGGGCGCAGGGCATCCGTCGGACGTTCACGCATCCGGCCTCTCCACAACAAAATGGGATTGCTGAGCGCCGCATTGGCATGGTCATGGACGTCGCTCGTACGTCCATGATGCATGCGGCTGCCCCCCATTTTCTATGGTCGCTTGCGATTCAGTACGCGGCGCATCAGCTCAACCTTCAGCCCCGGGTCTCCTTGCCAGAGACCTCCACCACCTTGCGATGGACAGGGAAGGTTGGCGATGCATCTGTGTTATGGGTCTGGGAATCTCAAGGGTTTGTTCGCGACTTGTCTTCGGACAAGCTGTCCCCCCTATGCTGTTCTGTGCGTCTTACTTGGCTTCCCCCCTGACGCCTCTGGGTGGCAGTTTTACCACCCCACCTCGCGCCGTGTTCTGTCCAACCAGGACATCACCTTTGACGAGTGGGTGCCTTACTACCGTCTCTTCCCCTACTGCGCTGCGCCCCTTTCCCCGTTGTCGCTCTTCCTTGTGCCAGGTCCTCCCTCGGTAGACCCCCTCCCCCCTTATGGTCCTGCCCTGTCAGGTGTGTTCCAGGTAGACGCAGTCGAGCCTGCCGATGTAGCTGTTGACTCTGGTGCTGCTAGAGGTGCTGAGCCTGCGAGTGCCAGGTCTGGAGGTGCTGAGCCTGCGGATGCTGAGTCTGGGGGTGCTGAGCCTGGGGGTGCTGAGACTTGTGGTGCTGAGCCTGGGGGTGCTGAGTCTAGGGGTGCAAAGCCTGGGGGTGTGGAGCTTGGAAGCGCTGGGTCTCCTCGTGTGGCCGCCAGCGGTGCTTCGTCGAGGCGGGAGCCACTCTCTCCGCAGGAGCTGCGCAAGTGGTTTGCCCGGTGCTGGAGTCGTGCTGCTTGAGCTGGAGGCAGTACTGTTGCTGCT